TGTGGCAGTTTTTCGCCGAGAAACCAGAGAAGTTTTGCAGTGATGGAATAATGATTTCTTGATGAAACGCTTTCCATGGCAAAAAAGTAAGGACGAATTCGTAGATGGGCACATTGCCACGCCTACTAAACGCCATTAACCGAAAACGTATAAAGTGCCATAACTAAGCACTAAAAATATAAAACTCTAGTTTGGCACATGGGATCGCAGCGGCAAGGGGTATATGTGGGCAAAAACTTTTGAAAGAATGGGAGTGACCCCGAAAATGACTTTAGTATGGTATATGCATGTCTCATAAAACACCAAAGACACGACGACTAAATACGCATATTAGCGCAAATATTTAATCATTTTTACACGATTGTACATTATTATCAGAAAATGACTCGTATCTAGATACCATGAAAGTTATGTGAAATTTCATGTCAGGCAAATATTTAATCAATCTTCACCTAATTTAAGACATATGGTATGCATACATTTATACTTATTGACTTTCAGCGTTTAAGAGGCAGTAAACACATTATGGAACTTATTTATTGGTAATCAAAGGAAAAAAAAATATTTGCCCTTTTATAAAAGCATGGCACACTTTATGGTCTCAGCTGCACTTGCTTTGCTTGTGTACACAAGAATTTTCGAATCGCCAGCGTCAGCACAACAATGCCATGCTATTTGCTGCCCTGCGAAACAATATGCGACCTTCGAACAAATCACGATAGTGTGGGCGATGAGAAAGTGATGTGAAAGAGAAACATGAAAAAATGGTGATTTTCAATCACACCTTTCACAAGTGTATTTTTCATTGCATAAAAAGGTTATACAAAGATATTTAACTTGACTTTCAACAATCAGTTTGTATGGCAGCTTTAACTTTAGTAAGCCGATACTGGCGGTTTCGATAAATGAGCAGCTTCTTGGTGAGATAAGGACGACTTCAGATCGATGTCTCAAAAAATAGATCCTTATGACCATATATTATCCCAAATCCAAATATTTGGTCCACAGTACCTATAGTTGACTTTTTATCAGAAATGTCGATCAGTGTGTGAGACATATAATTGAAATTCAGGCATAATCTTTTCCTGACAATTTTATATTCTGGTATAAAATTGGGCGAAAACTTGACCTAGTCCCCATATAACAAACATAGTATAACATCCGGTTGGCTTTACTTCTTATCATTGGTAATGGTAAGGAAAAACAAGATAACATCGATCCTCTGGTTGAAGTTTTACATCTCAAGCTATTTATCTGGCTTTGATTCCAGCAAGTTGCAATAATAAAAAATCTTCGGTTGCGCCCGTCGCAATCAGCGATGTGGGAACACTATAGCTTATAGCAGTCATACAAGTTGGGCGATCGGAAATATCTGCTTGGGACGGAAACTTTCTCATTTAACGAAATATCTTCAAGAAATTTGGCATTGTTGAGATTGCTATTAGATGGGGCTAAACAAGAACTCAGACGTATGCTGTTTGCTATACTAATAAACCAAACGATCATGTAAGCAATTGTTTTTTTCGTTTCACTTAAAAGAAGCCATCATAATCAAGTCCAAACACACTACGCTCTATACAATCTTGTCTTCGGCCAAGAGACTCATTCGACATGGTGCCTCCAAATCGGTTTGTATATCTGAAAGAGAAATTTCCCAAACCTTGCAAGGCAAAAATTAAAGATGGTTTGATAAAAGATAAGACCATTGAAAAAAAATTTAATTATAAGGAAAATCTCGTCTGAAAATGCAAGAAATGTCTAAGATGCCATAAATCGAAAAGTTACAAAGGCTTAATAAAAGAATTTGTAATACTATATAAAGTTTTAGAATGCAATACTCGTATGTCTTTAAAAATACTTATGCTGAACTCTGGTCTGTATTTCTTTCCTTAAATTTTGCGTGTTGGGAGTGACGAACATAGCACTAAGTTTCATCAGGATATTTCCTGAATAGAAAAGCGCTATCAAGCGAAATGGAGCGCGGTAATGCGAGACTTAAAAACGTCCTACCAGAAGCCAGATATTCAAGAACTTATAAAAAGCTGATGCTTGTTTTAAGGAAATATATGTTTCAAGATCTCAAGGAAACCTGATGAGTCAGTTTTTACATTTACTTCTTATTGTATAGTGGCTTTAGTAAATTCAAAGTTGTACTATATATTAGTTTTCATGTGACAAAAGAAGTTAAAATTGTATAACCCCGTGTTTTCACTTAAATTTCTTTAAGAAAAATTCTTAATTCTACGGTATGTTTTAATATGTCTAAGTACTTCATAATAGACCTCCAAAATCTATTTAGAATCCCGACTATACGCTCTTCATTCACATCATCGACAATGTCAAAACCAAACCACATTAATTCTACAACAAACACAACATCAAAATGTAGCGTCCTAATTGCCATGAACTGTCCAGCGTGGGCTTGCCTCTTTTCACACGAATTCGAATAATCCCTGATTACAACCAACACTAACGGCCTTCTCACCGCGGTATACCGCATTGCTTGATTTCACTTCGTTTTTACGCTTTTGACTTACCAAATTTCACAGCTCTGCGAAACCACGAGTCACCCAAATAAAATTAATTTCGTTGTAGCCTTTCGCTACTACTACTACTCGCACATACATATATCACCTCAGTTCGTTGGCGCTTTTTCGTTTCGTTTCTACATTTTGTTCTATTTCCATATTTTCGAATACAAGGTTTCTTTCAAAATCGCAAACGAACCATTGCATTCGATGTTTGCAAACCAACTGATGCCAAAAACAAATTCGAAATTGCTTAACAGCCGGCATTTAGCTATTTATGTGTACTCTCCCGTTGTTGGGGCAGAACGCAACCGCCTTGGAGCTTTCAGTAGTGAGAGCGAGTATGAGAAATTTTCGAACAAACATAAAGCTTTCCACTAAAAGATGTTTATGAATCAAAATAAATAACGGACACGATTGTTTAGTTGTAATTTCAGTTTCACAGTTCTGCTACTTTACCTCTCGTAATTTTGATGCACAATCAATACAAAGAATAATTTACCGTATAATTTTTTTGGTATTGATAATAAAGTTTGTGAACATGGCTGTACCGGTCGTACACAATAAATGCACTAAAGTTTTTTACCAGAGCGCCTCTTTTATGATGACATTTGCTTTTTACTACGACGTCATTGCTGTGTTACCACAATTTGTTTGTTTTGTGTTTGAGTGCATTCTTATGGTAAGCAAAATTTTCATTGAGTCTATTTCTACTCTGTGCTTACTCTCTCTTTGCTCTCTTTCTGCGTAGTAATTATCTATTTTGAAATTTCATTCATAATTCGATGCACTACTTAATTACCTTAATTATGGGGAGTACGAATGTCTATACTCATACTAATGTTGTTCATAATCGATGAAAGCTAATACGTTGAAACCAACAGCATTTAATGGTCTTATTTAACACTCATTAAAATTTTTTACAAAAACCATATTTACCTCATAAAAACCTGAAATTAAGATGGTAATATAGGGTGTTTCTTTTACATGTGTGGTTATCAATGAGGTAACACTTTTTCGGAGTTGGTCTGCTTGACATCTGATTTATCGCGAGCTATTTCCAATATTCAGTCGAAACGCCCTGAATGGATGGAAATTCGAGCAAGCTTTGACCACTTTCGCACCACACTCCTACTAGTGGATAATGGGCATTCTCAGAGATACCGCACAGTGCACACACACTCTCGTACAGCTCAACGTTCCGTCGAATGCGATATTCGCCGTGATCAACACGCAAAAGACCTTAAATCTTTCGCCGAACCTTTCTCTCGAAAACTCGCAACGTCGACTCATCAGTTGTTGTCATTGTCGAAGCTCCTGCACCATATAGCAAGACGAAAATAATGAGTGACTTATAGAGTTTGGTTTTGTTCATCGAGAGAGGACTTTATTCCTCTATTGCCTACTCAGTCGGTAGTAGCAACTGTTGGCAAGAGTTATTCTGCGCTGGATTTCCAAGCTGACATTGTTGGTGGTGTTTACACTGGTTCCAAGATAGACGAAATTATTACTTCAAAGTTATGACTGTCAACATTGACGTGAAAGCCAAGCCGCGAGTGCGACGACTTCGTTTGATAACATGAGATATTTCGTCTTACCCTCGTTCATCGTACAGTCTGGAGAAAGCAGAACTAAGGACATGGGTGTTGAGGCCGTTGATATCGCGGCGCAAAGGCAGCTCCTTCTCGTGCTGTCAAAAGCTCGATAGAACCTTATATGCGATGTTGAAGAGACTTATCCCACGGTAGTTGGCGCAGATTGTGGGATCTCCCATTTTGTGGATTGGGCAGAGCACACATAAATTGCAATCGTCGGGCATGCTTTCGTCCGACCATATTTTACAAAGATGCATGCTGCTTATCAGTTCTTCGCCGCCGTGTTTGAAAAGCTCGGTCGGCCTCCGTCGGCCCCCGCCACTTTGTTGTTGTTGAGGCAAGTAATTGCTATTCGAACTTCTTCCTGGTCGGGCAATGGAATGTCTGCTCCATCGTCGTCGATTGGGGCATCGGGGTTGCCTTCTCCTGGTGTTATACTTTCACTGCCATTCAGCAGGCTGAAGAAGTGTTTCCTCCATAATTTTGCCTCATCAAACTGCAGTGTCATATTTATGGAAGATTGTAACTTTATGCTCTCCCACGGCATTGGAAAAGTTTTTATTTCTTTTCATCATTTTTGCATTCATACTAGCTCTTGTCGTCGTCCGTTTAGCTGTTGGCTGTTTTTATCACTTTATACTGGCGCTTTGGTTTCTTGTTTTTAGGTGCCCGGGTGCACTGGCTTAGAAAAGTAATCAATTTCTTAAACTTTGCCTGTCAACTTGTGTTCTAATTGTTGCCCCATGTAAACACTTAAAAAAAACACAACTTTTATTTGAAACTTCTTTCGTTGCGAGTGATTTATTATTTAAAGCAATACCAAAAACTGTTTCACAAGTGCTTTGCTAGAGAAATGATTTCGTTATTGATTGCAGTCTTAGTTTACTTCATCCGTCATATCTCGAAGAATCAAGAAATATGAAAAACTGGCTTTTAATATCTGAAAAGAGAAATAATCAAAAATATCAACTTTTTTCAAATTTTAATTAAATTTTTTTCTTATTAATGTTTCTGTAGTTTTTGGAAAATTTTTGATTTTATGAGAAATCTATGATTAATACTCACACCCATTAATGTGGTCAAGGACATTACACCAAACCACGAGATTTGAAATTGGAAATCTTTATTGGAACGCATAATTATCATGTTCAATGTTTTCTTGAAATCCTTTGACTCATTAAACCAATCGCAGCTGTAGCAAACAAAGGGAATCTTTTCCAACTAAAATATTGGCATAATGAATGAAAACAGTTTTAAAGTGAGTTGTAAATATGTAACTGTGAGAACGAAATATTAAAATAGTAACAGGTTTCTAAATCTTTACAACAGTCTACATTAAAATCCGTACATTTTGAATATAAATCATAATTTGACATATGTATATATGTCTGTACCTCTGTGGCCAAAAATTGCCCATTTACGTAATACATGGAATCGACGGTGAGCGCAGCTCCAATGTACATAACCATGCGGATGAATGTTGTTTTATTTGTTTCCTAAAATTGTATAATATTATAATATCTGTATTGATCTTCCATTAAAACAAAAAAGATTTCGCCCACAAAGCAAAGGTGATCCGGAAAACTCACGGATTTTTAAACTGTCGCTTGTTGTCTTGTATGAGCTAAAATGAATCGCGATAGATATATAATATATAAATATAATCAGGATGGCGAGATAAGTTCAAATCAGGCTGAACGTCTTTTCGACCATACGTCCGTCTTTGCAAGTGACAACTTGAATTAAATTAGTGATATCTTGACGAAATCATGAGGAAAAATAAAAGACAATATGATAGAAACAACTGTACATTTCGAGCCGTTCGATACCAGACGAGATTGCGTGAATTACTCTCGTTTGTCTTCTAAAAAGAAAATGCTACTAAGATACGCAGATGAGCTTAACATCATATCCATAAGAAGCCGTCGCACATTTCTAGTCTAGAAGAAGAAGCAAAAGAGGTTGGTCTTGTGATGCAAAACAGCAAAACAAAATATCTGAAGGCACACACACACAGATTCCTCCCATCTTGGGAACTACGACATTGTTGGAAGCTATATAATCGAAAAACGTCCTCACACTATAATTGGGTTCTGAAATATGTGATGTTATTTTGCAATTTGTTGCTACAGGGTATAATAGCTTTTATGCGGTTGTGTGTATCACCTAAAACTATGCGAGATAGATATGGTATTTTTATTCATAAAAAGTGCGTGAATGGTTATCGTCCCTACTACATAGAATCATGAAAAATGTGATAAATAAAAAGTAATTAACGTTTTTTTTTTTTAATTATTTCCCATTTATTTTTTTTTTTTTTTTTTTTTTTTTTTTTT